TTGATATTTGGGTAGAATAACACATTATTTGTCACTTTCAAACAGAAACTGATGATATAAAGAACAATTCTCCTAAAAAGCCCCTGAACATAGAGAAGAGGAGAACAGGTATATCTTACAAACTACGGATACCAATATATATATATATCATTTTTTTATTTTTTATAATGAATATATATATATATATATATAATATATATTCATTATAAAAAATTAAAAATAAATCTTAATCACTAGTATCACTACTGACTTTTGAGAAGAACAAAATATATTAATGAACAATAGGGATGTATCAGTTATTATATATATATATATCACAATTAAATGTTAATGCAGGGTAGAATGTGGGTTTGGAAACGGATTTCTATAAATTACATTCAGACGTCTCATTATGTCTGTAGCCAATCACACAAGCCTTCTGTGTCTACTAGTCAATTATATGCCAGATTTCATTACCCCATTGCAAGTCACATGACTGATGAGTCCTGATGAGCCATGTCTATATGTACATGTCTTGTTCAAGTTCATGAGTTTGATGTGTGTGTTTCACGGCAGACGTCACACTCAATAACACAGCCAGCTGTAGTTCAGGGGTGTGTGATTTCTGGTTAAAGGAGTTTTTCAGTTTTGCCTTCAGTTAGATGTTAATGTTACTAAGGTTAGGTCACAATCAGTGCGTTCTTACAAGAGAAATGAGGTACTTGTAAAGATGGAGTATCTACATTGTGGTTTAAGGAACTGAACTACTTCAGTATGTGTGTCAGTAGACTCTCCTTCTGTTCTCCAGGTGCACTAGCTGAGTTTTTGGACCCCCAGCAGCAGGTTGTGGTTGGTGTTGGAGGAACAGCTCGACTGCACTGCCGTTTCAGCAGCTCTGGGCCTGTGGCTTCCTGCTGGATTCATGACCGTGAAAAGGTCTGAGCAGTTTGTGAAGAGGAACATGCATTTAATTAATGTGATTCTCCACACCTGTGGTCCCTCTGGTTGGACACCTGTGTGAACTTAAGAACTGACTTCATGAATCTACTGCAACACACTTGTTTGTTTGGAAGTCATTGAGCAGAGATCAACAGAATTGGGAAAAAAAAGCTTGTTTGATATTTTCAGTGTGCATGTTTCTCATTAGGTTGTGTTAGAAGGGCTGCGAGTGTGTGTGACGAACACCAGCAGTAGCAGCACCCTGGTTCTCTCTGATGTTCTTCCTGTAGATGTGGGAAGTTATTCTCTTTTTGTTTGTAACCGAGGAGGCACCGCTCACTGGACCATAAGCCTCCGAGTCATTGGTGAGAACTTTCTAATCTAGCTTGCTTTAGTCCTTAACCTGTTCTTTAGTGTGTAGTCAGTATATATCTGTGGTGATGGCATGACTGCCAGTAATCAGATTGCCTTTTTGTTCTCATTTGTGGTATTTTAGTATTTATATACCATTTTAATATTTATTAATATTAATTATATTTTCAGTTTTTTTTATTTGTTTTAGAAATTTGATGTCCTTTGTCATTTTTTTTCTTTTTTTTAATTCATTTTATTTCTATTTAGCTTTATTTTTTTGAATTGGCATTTTTCCATTTTCAGTTTTTAATTCTAGGTCAAGATGAAGTAATTATGTACTTGTCATTTTTAATAATTGTAAAATTTGTATTTTTTTTAAATTAGCTTTTTTAAATCTTGTTTTAGTTTTAGAAATGTGGTGTGCATTCCCTTTTTAAAAATTTCTGTTTAGCTCTACTTTTGGGTTCTTTAACAAGATTTTTTTTTTTTTTGCATTTTCAGTTTATTTTAAGTTACAGACATTGTGCTCGTTATCATATTATATATATTTTTTGTTTTTATCTTTATATTAATATCTGCATGGCTTTAATTTAGTTTTATATTAACTGGAAATATAAAGAGTAATTTTTTTACATTTTAGAAGTATGAACATTTGTCTTTTTTGTTTTTAATCAGTTTTTCATCTGTCATTTTTTCCCCTATGCTTTGAATTAACACTATTTATTTTTTTAAGTTCCCAATAACCTTGCTTCTCATTCACTTTTTGTTTCTCCCCAGATCGTCCAGACCCTCCAGCCTCGTGTCCGTTTGTGTCCCAGCTGACCCCCACGTCTCTGGTTCTGTCCTGGTCTGGGCCGTGTTTTGACGGAGGTTCTGCCATCACCGGTTACGTGGTGGAGTTTCAGAGGCTGGACCAATCTGAACCCAGTGACTGGACTGAACTCGCTAACCAGTGTCTGAACACCTCGTACCGGGTCTGCTCTGGTCTCGACCCGCAGGGACGGTATCACTTCAGAGTACGAGCCTATAACGCAGCGGGAGTCAGTGATCCCAGCGAGGAGTCAGACTGCATTAAGATGAACACTACAGGTAGACAGACGCCAACTTTTAAACCATTTAAATACATGCAAAATCCATATGCATCTGTTATTAAAAACATGAATAATATTTCTATTTTATATAAAGTTTATATATATATATAATTTTTTTTTTTAATGTGTAAAAAAAACAATCTTTTATATAGGCAGTATTAAGTATATACAGTGCAGTAAGGATGCTTGTGCTTCTTTGTGGAGTTAGTGATGCTCAAACAAGAGATTAAAGCAAGTTTAATGTGTTACAGGTGAACCACAATGGGAAGTGACCTCATATGTGGAGGTTGTGCCTGACACCACACACAAAGCCAGGGATCATTATCACGTCCATGAAAAACTAGGAGTGTGGGTATTAGTCTATTCATAAAATCAGGTCTAAAACTGATATTTATCTTAAACAGTCATCATCTACCTCCGCAGGGGGAAGTTTGGGGAGGTGTACAGGATGAGCCATAAGCAGACGGGTTGGGTGTGTGCTGGGAAATTCTACCGGGACCGTGTCTCCAGAGAGAAAACGGCAGCGCGTCAAGAAATCAAACTGATGAAAGGATTACACCACCCCAAGCTGGTGCAGTGTCTCGCAGCCTACGACACCCAGTCCGAGATCGTCATGATTCTGGAGTAGTGAGTTGAAAATCCTAGATGGATATAATCTTTTTTTTTTTAAAGTGACACACGAGATGGCTTTTTCAAATATACCGGTACATACACTATATATCTAACCATTTTAAAGTGTTCTATGGAACTGTTATGCATGAACTTCTCTTATCCATTAACATTCAATTTAATGTTAAGGGAAATATCAGATTAAGTTTTTTAAATATTTAAAAATGCATTTAATTTAATGGCTAGAATGCTCCTCATTTGATGAACGGTTTCAATTTTAGAATTTAAATGTAAAATTGAGGTGGTCTAACTAAGTTTTTACCTACCAGAAATGTTTGAAAACTTTTTTTTTTTGATAGCTAAAATGTTACTTTAAGATTTTAAATCAAAACTTGTGTACAAATGAAGCCACTGTGCATTTCTAACCCCTAATTGTTCTGCCTTATTAAAGTATTGCAGGTGGTGAGTTGTTTGAACGGATAGTAGATGAGAATTTTGAGCACACAGAACCCAACAGTGTGAACTACATGCGTCAGATCCTGGAAGGAATCCAGTATATTCATAGCAAACGCATTGTTCACCTCGACCTGAAACCAGAGAACATTGTCTGTGTGAACAGCGCTGGGACGCTCATCAAGATCATTGACTTTGGATTGGCCAGCAAACTGGGTGAGTGATTTCTTTACTTTTTTCTCCCCAGAGCGAGTCAAAACAATTGAGTCGAAGTACCAAAACAGGGTATCCGCAGGATTTTTATGCTCAAATTTAAGACTTTAAGACCTTTCTTAAGACCTGCACAAATAAATTGAATACCATATGAGCGGTATTATACCACCTGACTTTGAAATGTGCAGCGCTCATGTTTATTTAACTTTCCGTCCCCAAATTTAAAACCTCTTTGAAATTTTATATTACGACTTTCTTGTACCATTTAAGACTTTTTTCCCCGATTTCAGTTAAGGCTCAAGTCTATCAGACAAAAATGATTGTCTGGGCTGTTTTTGCAGGATTTTTATGCTCAAATTTAAGACTTTAAGACCTGCACAAATAAATTGAATACCATATGAGCGGTATTATACCACCTGACTTTGAAACGTGCAGCGCTCATGTTTATTTAACTTTCCGTCCCCAAATTTAAAACCTCTTTGAAATTTTATATTACGACTTTCTTGTACCATTTAAGACTTTTTCCCCCTGATTTCAGTTAAGGCTCAAGTCTATCAGACAAAAATGATTGTCTGGGCTGTTTTAACTGAAAGAAACTTGCACTGACAGATCTTAAAATATGTCAGTGCCATTGGTTTGTTTCAAGATGCACACCAGTAAAAAAATTAAGACGTGTTTATAAATGATACTTGAATGTCCTAATTGAACTATGGCCTAATCCTGGATTAACCTAAGTCCTGTCTGTGAAACTAGGCCTTTATGGCCTTACATTTGAAACTAAATTGAAGACTTTGGACCCACAGAAACCCTGCAAAAACATAAATAAAATTGTAAAAAAATCCCCAATTTTGTAATTCCGCATAGAAACTTTATTTCTTATTCACGTTTTAATAAATCGAGATGCACTGCAGTACATTCATCCCCGTCTGGGTTCAGTGTGTGTTATGTTGGGTTGTGGTTGGGGAAGAGCCACATGAGATGTCCCTTTGAGCATTCCCACTGAATCCGAATCAGACTCCCGGATGTTAACGTTTTAAACTCCAGAACCGGCTCTCCACACTGATGGCAGGTCCTGAACAGTCCTGTCAAACTGGATTTGTTGACCACCCATTTTCTTTCCTTCTGATCTGCTATTCCTCTTGTCAGTGAAATGGGATCAGATGCTGTATCAGACAAAGATCTCATGGCATTTAAACGTTCCTCCAATCGCAGTGCAGTCTGTGCAAGTTCATCCTACAAGACGGAAAATCAGTGAGCAGTTTGGACTCATTTGAGTGAATTGTTGATTCTAAAACTTTTTGATCTAAAGGTTTATTTAATGCTTAAATATTTTCATAGACAAATTACCGTGGTGTGCATTTCTTTGCAAAACTAACATTTTTAATAGAATTTTTTTTTTTATGAGTGAATAGTGAAGGAAAAGCAGCTAACAAGTGTCCAGCATACATTCATTCCTTAGTAGGCGTTTCCAAACTTTCCACTCAACTGTCCATTTTTACCAACCTTTCTTTTCTCCCAGAGCACTGTATGATCTTCCTCTGTAGTTGTGCTTGAAGATGAACTCTGCTCCATCATACAGTTTTGTTCCTCGTTGTAACCCATCCTGACATCTGGGTCCGATCCATCCTCTATTAGTCGTTCAGGCTGTGCTTGTTTATCCTACATGGCAGAAAATGGTGACGCATGCAAGTTTCATGCAGTTGTGGTCACCACAACTTTATTTAATATAAATTTCCAATGATGAGCAGTCAGATTTGTTGCATGTTGATCACTTTAAAATTTGTATGTGGCTCATCCAATTAGTCTGTTGATTTGTACAGTTTTCAATCAAGTGTGCATTAAAAACGGACTAGATTTACAAATCTTTTAGTTCACATTCCAATTCCAAATGTGAAAATCAAATATGATGAAGTACCATTGGTTTTGTATTTTTAAATCACAAGATTTTCCAAATATAGGCATGATTACATTTGTTGAATTTTTGCCATGCATATAAGATTTAACAGTTTGACACGAGTTAGTTAACTATAGCAAATAACCATTAAAGAGTGTGGCATAGGTTGACTGACCCAACAAACAGTCCATTGTGCTAGTGCAATATTTTATATATATATATATATATATGGCAATAAGTAAGGATACTTGAGACTTTTCCCCCAGTCATCTCAATAGCAAAGTGCCCCAATTTACCCTGTTACATACCTCAGATTTCAGTGCAGATGTTGATTTCTGGTGTTTTCCTCTCTTTCTCGGAGATTCACTGGAATTGTCTTGTGAAAGATGTTCACCACACACCCTTAATAAACGAAAATGAGAAAATATGAACTCTGAACTACGTCTTCCCGATCCACACAATATATTTCTGTAAAAAAAAATTTTTTCAATTTCTCACCTTCCCGACCCACACAATATATTTATGTAAAAAAAATGCCAATTTCTAAATGGTTACTTGTGTACGTTTTACAAGAAAACTTTTTTTTTTCTACTTATATATTTAACTTTTTTTAACTGAATTTAGTTGCTATTTTTTAGTTAATTGTGAAATGTCCTTGGTAGTTTCTTGGTGAAAACGGTTTCTATATTATTATTATTATTATTATTATTATTTTATTTTTTTCAATGCAAGATTTAAACAAAATTGCCATTTGCGAGTTTTTTTTTTTTTTTTTACGTTAGCTGGCGCCATA